TTAAAATGAAAATATAATATCATTTAATTTTCAAATAAACTATTTGTTGTTTAATACCAATTTTCATTACTGAGTTTATTCTATCATTTGTTTCTAATGAAAATAAGAATAAGTTTCTATCATTACCAATAATCAATAATCAATTAGAATTAAATATATCGTCTTTTTGAGTTTTCAATAATAAAAATTATATTTTCTTTCTTGATTATTCTTTTATTAAATATTGTATGTTCTTATTTAACTTATTATTATCTCATTCAATTATACATTCAAAATTTTTATATTTCTACATCTTTCTATTTGTTCAATTTGGTATTTTTCTATTCTTATTTCTTCTTTTTCTATTCTTATTGTTTATTTCTTATATATTCTTATTTTCTGATTATTTATTGTGGTATTTATTCAATTTTTATTTATTCTTATTAAATCTTGTTTTAATATTGTTAATTCATTCTTCTAATTTTTTAATTTTATCTTTCATATTCATTTCTTCATTGTGAATATTTTTATCTATTAGTTCATTCTTAGTTTTATTAACTGTTTCTTCATCGGAATTACATTCTTCTATTATCTTCTTCATTTTATTCTTTATTGAGTCTATTTCGTTAATTGTTTCTTGTCTTTTTTCTATTACTAGTTTTCTTCTTCTAACTACTTCATCCATCCTATCAATTATTCCTTCTCCTCTTTTAATTGCCTGCTCATATGTTTCATTATCTTGTATTTCAAATATTTCATTTTTAATACTTCTTAAATAATACTGATAATGTTTATTAGTATCATCAATTGATTGATAAATATTTGGAATTGTTTCTACTATTTCATTAATTAAATGATTATTCAACACATCTTCCATTTTAATTTAATTAATATCAGATTAAAATAATAAGATTAAATACTTAAATACTCATTTATAACACATACTTTATTTATTATTTTATTATTTTAATAAACATCATTTCATTTTTATTGTTTTAAATAACATAATAATAATGTTGTTATGTTAATTTTCATGGTTTTATTGGAAATGAATATTTTATAGAAATACAATGAATAAATGAACTTTAAAACAAAATGAAAATCAATAAAATACAGTGAAGTGTTGAGGTATAAAAGAAAGTATAATAAAAGAAGAAAGAAGAGTGATGACGAATGAAAACAATATAAATAACATAAAAATGAAATAGTAAATACAATTGTAATTATACTATACTAAAAAACTAAAAGAATGAAGGATAAGAAAAATAAAAAACGTCAATACGAAGTATAAAAAGAAGAAGAACTGAAAGAACAACAGAAGGATGCAAATATTTGTTAAGACCCTCACTGGAAAGACCATCACATTAGAAGTAGAACCAAATGATTCTATTGATGCTATTAAGGCTAAGATTCAAGAAAAAGAAGGAATTCCACCAGATCAACAAAGACTTATTTTTGCAGGAAAACAATTAGAAGAAGGAAAGACCCTTTCAGATTATAACATCCAAAAAGAATCAACACTTCATTTAGTCTTAAGATTAAGAGGAGGATATTAAAATAATTGAAATATTCATTATAAACAACAGTTTAAAGATAAATAAAAGAAATAAATGTAATTGACATTTTATCAAATTTAAAGTATTCAAGTTAGTTTAAACAAACAACAAATAAAAATAAGTAAATTAAAGAGATTAATGAGTATATTTAACTATAAATAATTCAGTTATTTAATAATTATAAAATAATCTCCAAACACATTCATCAAACATCATCATTTTCTTAGTAATACGAAATAACAAACACAAACCATTAGTTACATTTTAAAATAAATAAGTTTTATTACTTAGTAGTACCTCATTCGATAGGTTTTATTAGGTTAATTTATTAACAATAATTCATAACTAAGTATTTGTATTAAATTATTCAATTCTCTCTAAAATACTTTAAGTTTTAATGCCATCTAAGAAAATATAAACATGATACAATAATAAAAAATGAATCATAAAACGATTAAATCAAAGAAATAGCATTAATAAAATATTCAACACTCTTGAAAGTATAAATAGTGTTAAAATATCATTCAGAGAGTTAGTACATTCAAAAAAAAAGAATTTAATTTGAGAAATTGTATTAATAATCTAAACCAAATAATGAAATACTGAAACTAACTGATTTAAATCAAATATAAAAGATTGTATTTTAGGTTTAACAATTTAAATAAATCTTTTTCAATACACAAATGAACATTAAATTATTTCTATAAAGATGTTATTAAAAATTAACTTACTGTAGTGTGAGTGTAAAATATACTGTTATTAGCATGGTTCAAATGTTTGTTAATATTTAAAAACAAAAATAAGAACAGATTGTTTATTATTTGTATAACAATAAATAATATTTGTTCTTTATTTTGAGTATTTTATCTTTGTTAAAGTAAAAGAGGACAATAACAATAAATGCTACTGAGTCTTAAATGTAATAACACTAACTGTTTTATATATAAACAAATACTAAGTCATTTACTTTAGTAAATAAGTTAAATAAACCAAATATATAGTACATAGAATTAATACATGAAATTCTAATAAACTGAAGTTATTGTGTTAGTGAATGATTTTTAAAATAAAATATGTTTATTAAATTAATTGAGTTATCTTATTAGTATAAGAAGAATAATTAGTGTAAACATATAAAGTGATAAAATAAATTGTGATTTAGTTATAATTTTTTTTATTCTAATAAATCAATTAAAGAGTTGAATGATAATGAAGAAGCATTAATGTCATTTCTCAATGTATGTGTACAAGCCTCTGAGACAATCCATTTAATATCTGCTCCACTTTTACCTTCTGATAATTGAGCTAATAATTCAAAATCAAATGACTGATCAATAGGAATATCTTTTAATGCAACTTTAAATATTTCAATTCTTGTTTTATGATCAGGTTTAGGAACTTCAATTAAACAATCAAATCTACCAGGTCGTAATAATGCTGGATCTATTAACTCTTTTCTATTACTTGCAGCAACTAAAATAACACCTTCAACTTCTTCAATACCATCCATTTCATTTAATAATGTTGATAATACACGATCTCTAACTGAATCACCTCCTGTTCCACCTGAACGAATTCCTACTACAGTATCTATTTCATCTATAAAAATTATACATGGAGTTGCTGCTCTTGCTCTTTTAAATGTATCTCTTACACTTGCTTCTGCATCTCCTACATATGGTGAATATATTGTTGCACTATTCAATGTTATAAATGAAGTATTTAACATTGTTGCTGTTGCACGAACAATACTTGTTTTTGCACATCCACTTGGACCATATAATAATACTCCATGAGAAGGTCGAATTCCAAGTTTTTTAAATTCTTTAGAATGAGTTATAGGCCATTCTATTGCTTCTATCATTGCTTTTTTAACATTTTCTAATCCTCCAATATCATCCCAATGTAATTTATCAAAATCTGTTTCACTTCCAACAAGAACTGATGGTGTTATAAATGTCATTGAATGGAAATAAATATTTATTTTTTCTTCTGTTGTTTCATTTCCATGAAATTGTGCTTCAACATCATTTTGTAATAATAATAAATCTTTTGGTAAATATCCTACTGTTTTCTTTGATATTATTTCATTAATTTCTTTACAATTACATTTTAATGAATCTAAAATTTTATATCTAATTATTTGGTTTGGAGGAGAAATTCTAAGTGAAGAAGTAATAAGTTCATTTGATTTAAATATATTTGGTATTGTTTGTGTTGTTGTACAAATAATTAAATTATTATTAATTTTTAATTGTTTAATAATATGTATTAGTAATAATGAATAATCTTTTATTAATTCATCAATATCATCAAGAACAATTACACAGTCATGAATATTTAAATTAATAATATTATTATTCTCAATTATTTGATATGAATTATAATAATAAACTTGTTTTCCTATTTTATATGAACAATATTTAGCAATTAAAGTTTTTCCACTTCCATGTTCTCCTTCTAAAAGAAGTATTTTATTATTATTTAATATTAAATAAATATTTTCAAGTAAAGAATCATATCCAATAGGTTTTTGAATAGATAAACTATTATTTTGAATAGAAAATGAACAATCTTTAGTTATAGAATAAAAACCATTTGGTAATTGTCCATTAATATTTTGAATAGTGACAAAAATATTTAATATATGAATTTGAATGATAGAATGAATACAAATGGTTTGTCCATTTAATATATTAAGAAGATATTTACTAATATTTTTTGAATTATTAAATGAATATTTATTAGTATTTATTGGACATAAAGATATATTAATAGAAATACATTTTTCAATCTCTTTTATCTTTTCAATTGATTTAATGTTTTTTATTTCATTTCTTTCAATAGGTTGATAAATACAAACAAATGGATCAATAGAACATCCTTCTTCAATACTATCACTAAAACCAGAAACTCTACAAATACACTTTTTATTATTTTGGATAGTTACAACAACACTTTCATCAAATAATAATCCTTTAGAATCAATATCCTTTCGAGTGAGACGAATTTTTCCAGAATCTTTATCACCAGCAAAGAAAATCATTGTATGGTTTTTAGGTTTTAAAAAACAAAAAAAGAATTTGTTTAATTTAAGATAATAAAATTCATAATAAAATAAAGAATAAAGATAATAAAAAGAAAATTTAAAGATAAAAGAAGAAAATTAAAAAAAAAAAAAAAGAATAAAAAAGAACTTATAGAATTTATAGATTTATGTCTATTTCTTATACATCATCATCATCAAGTAATATGCCTTCAATAGGATCAGAAACACAAGAACAACATAATGTTCAAGAAAAAAGTGGAATGTTACAACAAAATTTTCAAAATATTGAAACATTACGTAAAATGTTATTTGCACCATCTGATAAAGATAAATTAGCAGCATTAAAAGCAATTATTAAATTAGAAAATACAGGATTAGATACATCAGAATTATTTGCTGAAATTGCTATGAATGTTGGTAGTCAAGAAATGGAATTAAGAAAACTTGTATGTATGTATATTGTAAATCATTCAGAAAAAGATCCAACAAATGCATTAATGGCAGTTAATACAATGCATAAAGCATTAAGTTCACCACATACATTTATTCGTACAACTGCATTACAATCAATTACATCATTAAGAGTAAGAGATATTGCACAATTAATGGTTATTGCTGTTTCAAAAGCAATAAAAGATACATCACCTTATGTAAGAAAAGCAGCAGCACTTGCAATTCCTAAAATTTATAGTCTTGATGAAAGAAGATTTGATGAATGTGTTAATTTAATTGTTCAAATGTTAGATGATAAAAATCCAATTGTTCTTGGTTCTACATGTTATAGTTTTCTTCAAGTATGTCCAAATAGATTTGAATTTATTCATAAACATTATATTAAATTATGTCAAGCATTAGTTGATTGTGAAGAATGGGGACAAATACCAATTATGACAGTTCTTATGCATTATGCTAGAACACAATTTACTGATCCTAATTTAATTGAACTAGATGAAGAACATGAAATGGATAAAGATTTAACATTTCTTATTAGTAGTGTTAGTCCATTATTTTATTCTATGAATCCTGCTGTTGTAGTTCAAGCAACATTATTATATTTCCATGTAGGACATCAACAAGATAGAATTAAAGCAGCAAGAGGAATAATGAAATTAACATCATCATCTTTATTAACACAACAATTTTTATATCCAGTTTTATTATCATTAATTCAACAACAACCAAATGTTTTTGTAGATTATTTAGAAGATTTCTTTTTATATCCAGATGATCCTACTGAAATTTGTGAATTAAAATTAGAAATTATTACATTACTTGTTCAAGAAACAAATTGTCAAAAAATTCTTGATGAATTAAAAGATTATACTACATGGAGTAATCCACATATTGTTACTCTTGCTATTCAAGCAATGTCTAGATTAGCAATGATTATGCCTGAAACATCAGAAAGATGTATGGTTCAATTATTACAATTTATGTCAAATAAAAATTCAGAAATTGTAGCAGAAGCAGTTATTGGAATTAAAAAATTATTACAATTATCTAAAAATGGTCAAAATGATCCAGAACGTGATTTAAGAATTATTGGTAAAATGTCTAAATTACTTATTGATATGAAAATTCCACAAGCACGTGCAAGTATTGTTTGGGTTATTGGAGAATATTCTCAAATGGTTCCTAAACTTGGACCAGATATATTAAGAATTCTTGCTAAAACATTTATTGAAGAAGATAAATGTGTTAAACAACAAATATTAACTTTTGCAGGAAAATTATATATTACAAATAAAGAACAAAGTGAGAAATTAGTTAGATATATTTTCCAACTTGCTATGTATGATAATTCATTTGATATTCGTGATAGAGAAAGATTATTAAGAAGATTCTTATTTGCTGAAAATAATGAACATTGTAAAGAATTATTTAAACATGCAAAAGATATTCTTCTTTCTGATAAACCAACTCCTGTCATTAATGGTTTTAATCAACAACGTCAAGGATTATTAGAAGGAACTTTATCACACTATCTAAATACTATTATCAATGGATATACAGATCTTGAAGATTTTGCTCTTCAAGCTAGTGATCCATCTCTTAGAAAAACAAATGTTGTTATTGAAGAAACACCTAAAACTAAAATAAAGACTGAAAAGAAAAAGAAAGAAATTGATGAAGATGACCTTGAAGGATGGTTGAATGGAGATGGAGAAAAAGGAACTGGAAAGAAACATGGAGGAATATGGGGAACTGATGTTAGTTCATCTGAAGAAGAAGAGAGTGAAGAAGAAGAAGAAAGTGAAAAAGAAGACCAAGATGAAAACGAAGAAAAAGAAGAAGAAAATATTGAGGAACAACAAAAAGAAAATAATGTAACTAATGAAGATGATTTTGACTGGGAAGAAGCATTAGGACTTGTTCAATCTAATCTTAATAAAGAGGAAGATAAAGAAGAAGAAAAACCTAAAGAACAAGAAGAAATTGCTGATGATGCATTTGAAAATGATGGAGAATTTGTTGTTGAAAATGGTGAAAATGATGATTGGGGATTACTTGAAGATGAAGGAGAAAATCTACAAGAAATAAAAAAAGAAGAAGAAGAAGAAAAAGAAATAAAAAAAGAAGAAGAAGAAAAAGAAATAAAAAAAGAAGAAATAAATCAAGAAAATATTAAAGAAGAAGAAAAAGAAGAAAAACATGAAGAAATAAATCAAGAAAATACAGATGTTAATGATTTTATAGGATCAGATGAACATCAAAATGATAATCTAAAAGATTCAGGATTTGGAGAATTTTAAGCACTAAAAGAAATAAATTTAATTCTTTCTTTTTTTCATTGGATTCAAAGTTTTCGAAATTGAAATATTAATTTGGATATTTATTTTATATAATAAAAGAAAATAATAAAATAAACTAAATAAACTATTAAAATTTAAATGTTTCTTCTCTTTTTTATATTTATCTTTTCTTCATTTAGTGAAGATTATGGAGTTTGTTCACCAGGATTTGCAATATCATCTCCTTCTTATTATATCTCTAAAATATCAGGAATATTTACAACACCATATTTTTGTGTTGAAATGAATTTAAGAGCAACAAGAATTGAAGAAAGTGCTAAAGCATTTATTGTTGGATTTAGTAATTTTGGGTTAATTTATTCAAATGAAAATGATACAGCTAAAGTATCAATATTATATTATAATTCAGAACAAAAAATTGAAAAAATATTTTCACCATCTTATTTTGAATGGTATGATGTTTGTTTAAGTGCATCAGAAGATAATTTAATTAGTGTATATATTAATGGTAAAAAACAAACAACTACATATCAAGCAAATCAAATAATTAAAGAAAATGATAATATTTTTATGTTATGTACTTCATCACAAATATATAATATTGGAACTATAAGTGGATTTATTTATGGAAGTCATATATTAACAGAAGAAGAAGTTATTAATTATCATACAAAACATATTAGTCCATCAAATGTTATATTTAAACAAAAAGCAAGATTATCATATACTAGTGGAAATGCAGTTTTTTTTAATAATTTATTATTTTATGGAGGAACTAAAATATCTGGAGGAATAAGTAATTTAAAAACATCAGTAGGTATTCCTTTAATTGATGATGGATGTTATGATGGAGCATTAGAAAAATTAGCAATGAGAAGAACAGATCTTATTCCAGATATTACTATTAATAAAGAAAATTTAGTTACTTTACCATTTGTTGAAATATCTAATATGAAAACACATAATTCATATTTTATTTTTAATAAAGAAGGATCAATTACAATTAATACATTAGATACAAATATTAAACGATTTGTTAGATTAGAATTTGATGTTCAAGGAAATTTTATTATTCAATATCAAATGAATAATCAATGGTATAATGGAATAAATATTAAAGCAAATTATTTTACACCAAATTATGTATTATATCTTCCATATTATCTTCTTGGATCACAAGTAACATTAAGAATTATAACAATATCAATACCAACATCTGAAATTAATCTTTCACTTGATCCATTTATTAAAGAAATAAGAATTCATTATGGAATATGTAATGGACATAATGGAATGTTTTGTGCTATTGATAATTCATTTGGAATTTGTTCATCAAATGAATGTAATCCTAAATCAAAATTATCAACAAAAACATTTGATTTTAATAATTATAATATTCCATCAAGTGTTTCAAGTATTATTTTAAAATCAAAAGAAAATAATAATGTATTTCTTACATCATATCAAATAAAAAATTCATTAATAGGAGAAGGAATTGATACTATTTTAGATACACCAAATTCTAAATATTTTAAATTTAGTCAAAATGAAGTATCATTTTTAGAAGTATCATCATATGATATTCCATCAGGATGGGGAAAATATACAAATGAATATACATATCTTGTTACAGTTAAAATAGAAAATTCAACAACAACATTATTTAAAACATCTTTTTTTGGATTTACTATGCAAACATTAAATATTAATCTTTATAAAGGAAAACCAACATTATCAATTCTTACAGTATTAGAAACAAAAGAAATACCAATTAATAAATGGGTAAAAATTGGACTTACAGTAAATTCAACAAGTCTTACAATGGCATGTGATGGAAAAATTGTACTTAGAGCAAAAAATGAACAATATGTAGATTATCTTTCATCTACAGCATTTAAATTTGAAGCAGTAAGAATGTATGGAAATTCATTTGCATCAATTCAAGAATATCCTATTGCTGTTACAGATAATGTATTAAATACATTAACAATAACTGGACTTACAATAGATAATACATGTTCAACAACATTACCAAATATTTGTATTAATAAAAAAGCATATTCTCCATTTGAAAAAAGTTGTTCAATTAATTGTATTGAATGTGAAAATGGAATATGTCAAGAATGTATGAATAATTTTGATTTATCAACAGGATGTACAAAATGTAAAAAAAGATATAGTGGAGAATTATGTAATGAATGTGCATCAGGATATAAAGGATATCCTGAATGTAAAAATTATACTACATCTATTATTATTATTTCAATAATTGGAGGAATATTTTTAATTATTATATTTATTATAATAATTATTATAATAATTATTTTATTAAGAAAAAGAAAAATTAAACAATTAAAAGAAATAGAAGAAGATGAAATGAAAGCATTAGAAAATAATGGAACAGCTCAATTACTTAAAAATGCAAGAAAAAAGAAAGTTATTGTTGGTACAGAAACATTAATTGAACTTGGAAATAATATTTATATTAATAAAGCACATTTAGATTTTAATTTAGATGGAATAGAACCTGATATTGATACTCCATTATTAGATACTTTATTAATTAAAAATCATACAGATAAACAATTTGTTATTTGGATTCAAGTACCAAAAAAAGATAAATTCTTTTTACAATCAGATATAGAAAAAGAAATTCTTGAACCTAGAGCAGAAATGAATATTCATTTTGAAATTCAATTACATTGTAATTGTTCATGTAAAGAAAAAATTATTATTAGAATAGAAAATACTAAAACAAAAGAAGAAGAAACTGGAACTATTGCTTTAGCTATTTCAACTTATAAAAGTAATAAAATTGATTTTGATGAAATTGAATTAAAACAACCACCTTTAGGTGATGGTGCATTTGGTGTTGTTTATAGAGGAACTTATAGAGGAATTGAAGTTGCTGTAAAAAAATTAAAAGAAAGAACTGATAATATAGGAGCAAAACAAGAATTTAATAAAGAAGTAACATTAATGACTAGACTTAGAGGACCATATATTGTTGGATTTATTGGAGCATGTTATCTTGAAAAAAAAATGTGTATAGCAATTGAATTTGCTCCTAATGGATCATTAGGTCATATATTAAAGAAAATTAAATTAACTTATGAACAAAAATTAAAATTTATGATTGATTGTTGTAAAGGTATGACAATGATGCATTCTTTTAATATTATTCATAGAGATCTTAAACCTGATAATTTATTAATGTTTTGTGTAGATCAAATTAATCCAATGATAGTTAATTGTAAAATAACTGATTTTGGTACATCTAGAGCAGTACAAGAATATGAAGGAAATTATACTTGTGGAGTAGGTACTCCTGTATATATGGCACCTGAATTACTTAGTAAAGAACCTTATACAATAACAGCAGATCAATTTAGTTTTGCTATTATGATGTATGAAGTATATATTCAAGGAAAACCTTATTCTTCTGATCAATTTAAAATGCCTTGGGATATTGCTAAATTTGTTATTGCAGGAAAAAGATTAGAACGTAAAGATAATATGACTGATGTTTGGTGGAATATTATTACTCAATGTTGGGATCATATTCCTTCTAAAAGACCTACATTTAAAGATATTACAATTATTTTACAAAATGAACTTGCAAAATTGATTCCTTCATTTGCAGAAAATAAAGAAATTACATCTCCACAAAAATTAAGAGAAGAATCTATAGATCCAAATATGAAAACAAATACAACAACTACTACAACTACTACTACTACATTAACTTCTACAATTAATTCTGATATAGGATATAATACAAATCAAACTGGAATGTCTAAATTTATTAATACAACAACAGATGACTTTGAAATAAATTAACAAAAATTAAATTAATTAATTAAGTGAATAAATTTTTTATTACCTTCTTTAATTATAAATATTATTAATTAAATAATATCAATAATATGACATCTATCTTGAGCTTCATTATAATAGAAAGCAATTGAATATTTTTCATCTGATAAATAAGGAATTGGAAATAAATATGGAATATGATATTTTTCTATTTTCAATATTTTTGATTCAAAATACATTATTCCATTTTTTGGTGGTTGGAATGGTTTAGTTATAATTTCTCGTGTTATTGGTATTAATATATTTGGAGTATAATTAAATGAAGAAACATATGAAATAATTACACCACGATTAATTTGTCTAAACATTTCTAAATATCCATCATAAACATCTATCATTCCTGGTTTTTTTTGAGTAATTTCTGTTTCAAATATTACTCCAAAAGCACGTAATTCATGAGGTTGATCTAATTTACTAATAGTAGTAAGATCAAGAACAGTCATATAATATTCTTTTTTTCCTATAAGAATTGAATTAGTTTGTGAAACTTTATGAAATCTATCAAATAATGGTAATAATGAAGTTACAGTAATTAATTGATTTAATTGTGATGTCATTGATAAAACTTGATCTCCATCTTTAACTTTTAATCCATTTCCTTTTCCTTCAGGTTGATAATAAAAATATTCTTCTAATGATAATTCTTCTGTTTTACAATTAAATGAACTTATAACACGTGCTTGTTTTTGTTCATTAAATAAACATATTATTCCTAATGGTTTTGATGTTGAATATTTAATAAATATATATTTATCAAATGAAACATTAATTACTTTAACATCTTTTGGTGGATTTGTATAACTAATATTTATATCAACTGGACTAAATGTTGTTGATTTAATATAATTTAATTCATTTTCAATTTTTGTTTTTTCTTTATTAATTTTTTGTAATACTCCATAAATAAGTTCTTTATCTCTCATAATTTGTTCATTAATATTAATTAATTTTTCAATATTTTCTTGTTGATCTATTATTTTCTTTTCAAGTAAATTAATTTTATTTTTTAATATTTCATTTCTTTGATAAAGAGCATAACATTCTTGATTTTTTTTATTATATAATTCTAAATAATTAATATTTTTCCCTTCTGTTGTTGTAATAGATATTTCATTTGTATTCTCTTCATTTCCTTCTCCTGATGAAATACTTAATTCTCCTTCACTTTCTTCTTTTATTGTTGATTCTTCTGTTTCATTCTCACTTATATCTTCATTACTCTCTTCACTTATATTTTTACTTGATGGGTTTGATGATAATGTGGATGCTTCTTCACTACTCATTTACTAATGTTAATATTTTGAACTTAAAATTCAATCTTTTCCATTTTTCACTAGTATTTTTGAATGGAAAATAAAAGAACCAAAACAATTCAAACAAATATTATCCATGAAAGAGTTATTACTCTTCATCAAATTATTAAATATCTTGATACTGTTGATATTAAACAAATGGGAGTACAAGAATATGGTGCTGACCAAATTTTATCTATGTGTCATAATAAAGACAATAAACCTTTTTATGCATTCATTGGAACTTTTCTTTCTCCACAAACACGTGACCAAATAACTTTTGCTTCAGTAAAAAAGTTACATGAAACTCTTGGAGAGTTAACTATTGATGTTATTAATAATACATCTTTAGAAGTTCTTATTAATTGTATTAAAGGTGTTGGATTTTATACTACAAAGGCTAAAAGATTAAAACGTTGTTGTGTTATTATGAAAGAACAATTTAATAATCAAGTCCCACAAACAAAACAAGATTTATTATCACTTCCTGGTGTTGGACCAAAAATCGCTTCATTAATTTTATCAATTGGATTTGATAGATTAGAGTCATTAGCAATTGACACTCACATATTTGTTATCTCTCATCGTTTAGGTTGGGCAGATGGTTCAACCCCAGAAAAAGTGAGACTTCAATTAGAATCATGGCTACCAAAAGAAGAATGGTCTTTGTTTAACAAATCAATTGTCGCTTTTGGTCAATGTTGTTGTCGTAAAATCCATCCAAAATGTAAACAATGTCCAATACAAGATAAATGCCATTATTATCATAAATCAACCTAATTCACATTATTTTAAGAATAAAACACCCTTAATATTAAAACTTATTGTTTGATTTTATTGTTTATTAAACATTCTTTTCTTTACTTATTTAAATCAATACCCTTATTTTCTTATATTATATCTTGTTTTTCATTAATAACTCTTATTTCTTTCTTTTTTATTATTTATTTATTGGTTTTATTTCACACCAGATACCTTTACAAAAGCATTGATTCTATAATTTAATTGATGGTTAATTAGTGTTCTCATCTTGATTAGATTTTTAGTGTTTATTTTACATTTAAATGTTTAATAGATGGTGAATATATCTATTGTAGATGTGTAGCAGAAAATGAATATTAATTTGTACTTATCCAAATGAAAAATGAAATCATTGAAATTATATGAAAAAGAGTTCTAATGTGATGTTTGTGAAGAATGAATTAAGTTTGGATGTCAAATTTTATCAATAACAGTTATTCCTCTTGTTGCTATTTTTGTACCCTTCCTTTAAACATGAGTTGGTGTTATTTCACTTCAGTTTTATATTTAATAATAAAGAGTAAAAATAAAGCAAATAGATATTATTACTTTTTTAAATGAATAATGAGTAATTAATCATCATATATAAACACAATACATTGAGTAATATCATATTAATTATTACTGTGTCTCTTCAATAAATATCTATTCTTTTATAATTTTATTTTTTTTTCTTATATTATAGTAATATATCATAAATAGAGTGATAAATTTACAACATTCTACTATTTTAATTTCATTTAACCAAGGTATATTAAAAAAATATAAAATAATGAATTTTTATAATCAACGAACAAAGAATATAAAATGTTTATTTAATTGAGTTTAGAATAAATAATATTCATTAGAGTCTAGAACTTCATTAGTTATTTTCTGAATTGTGTTCTAAAGAATTTAAATTATTTCTCTTACAAAGAGAGTGCATTGATTTAAAATTTAATTTTAGTATAAATTAGTTGAAATATGAAAGTGACAAAACAAAGAGAATTACCAGTGATAACAATAAATTATTTAACTAAGTATAATTAGAATAAAATTAACTTGATTATATAAATAAATAGAATTCATGTTTTTGAATATAAATAATACAGTAATTCAGTGAATAATTTTACTTAAAGAATTAAAAGTATTATCTAATAAAATAAGTTTTAAATTTCTTTTATGTACTTCTCAACTTCTTAACACAACATTAAATAAATAATCCTTTCTTTTATTAGAATAGAAACAATTAACAAATGAAATCAATAAAAAATAACTTGATCAAATAGGTTATGATTAACAAAATATTACAACAAATTTATAACTCTTTTTATTAAGGATACAGGCAATAACCAAAAAAACTAAGTTTATTACCAATAACCTTTGGTATTTTTCATAATTTTTCAGTGAATAAAACTCTTAGAATGAAACATAAAAAAAGAAAAAATCTATGCTATTTGGATAAAAAACAAAGTAAATAAAAAAAAACAATTACAGATAGAAATAATAAAGAAAAGAATAATAAAAGAAAGTGAAAAGTGAATAAAAAACAAAGAGAAAGACAGAAGAACTATGAAATACATATTCATGAGTGATTTCATTCCGTTGAGGACTAAGTCGACCCCTGCAGCACAATTAAATTGTAATGCCCCTCCATTTAAAAAACGGAAAGGAGTTGAACAACCAATTGCTGTTAAACCATTAAAAGAAGAAGAAACCGATGTTATTAAACAGAAAGGACAACAAACAATCATTACTCCAACAGCAACGCCCATAGTTCATGAAATATCTCCAACAACTAATTTAATTACATTAGAAAAAATAGCTTCATCAAAAACATGGAAAAGAAGTAAACCTGTTGAACATAAAATTATGAAAAACGAAAAAACTGGGATAACAAAACAAATAGACAAGAAAGTAATCTCAGAAAGAGAAGAAAAAAACGGTTCAGTTCCAATTAAATTTGAACAACAAACATTGAAATATGCATTTTTTGTTAGAAGAAAGAAAGAAAATAAAATCACCTCTACTCCTTTAACTGATGAGGAGTCTCAACAAAAAGAAAAAAAAGTCATTGAAGAAAAAAATAATCCACAAAACGAACAACCAACAATAGAAAATCAAGTCCTTGTAAATGAAGAAAATCCCCAGAAAGAAGAAGTAAAAGAAGAGGTTAAGGAAAAGACCGAAGAAGAAAAGAAACCTGAAAGTAAAAAGGAAAAGAGAAATAAGAAAAGAAATTATAAGCGTGAATATGAAGAGGAACAGATAGAAGAACAGGAAGTTATTGAAAGTCTTGAAGAAGATGAGTGGAAACAAGTTGACAAAAGTGGAAAAGTTCGACCTGTTAAAGACAAAAAAGGGGAATCAAAGAAACAACGTAAAAAGAAAGAAGAAGAAGAAAAGAAAAAGAGAAAAGAAGAGGAAGAAAGAAAAAGAAAAGAAGAAGAAGAAAGAATTAAAAAGGAAGAAGAAGAAAAAGCAAGAAAAGAAGAAGAAGAGCGTATTAAAAAAGAAGAAGAAGAGAGAAAGAGAAAAGAAGAAGAAGAAAGAATTAAAAAAGAAGAAGAAGAGAGAAAGAGAAAAGAGGAGGAAGAGAGAAATAAAGAAGAAGAAGAAAGAAAAAGAAAAGAAGAAGAAGAAAAAGTAAGAAAAGAAGAAGAAGAAAGAAAGAAAAAAGAAGAAGAAATGAAAAATATATTTACAAGGACATTAAAAGAATCTAAGAATGAAGGAGGGAAAAGATATAATTTAAGTGAAATGGAAAGTTATAGGAAATGTGGAATAAAATTACCAGAAGATGTTAGGAATCGATTTAATCTTATTTATCATGAAACAGTAGAAAGAATAGAAAATTCAAAAAGTAGAAATGAACCTAAACCAATTACATTATTTTCAAGTATGTTAGATGAGAATCAAAAGAAAGTATCAAAAATGTTAGTAATATTAAATCAATTATCACAAGAAACGAATTTAGAAGAAGCAGCGAAATCATTAATATATTATTTAAGAAGTGAAGAAGATATTAAAATATTTATTACACAATTTGTTAAAAGATGTGTTAATGAAAATAAATTTTGTAAATTATATGTTCGATTTATTCAAACACTTCGACAACAAAATGGATTAACACAAAATGTAGCACAAGGAGCAACAATATTAAGTGGAGCATTATTAGAGAAAGCATATGACTATTTTCATAAATTACCAGAACCAAAAATAATTCAAGAAGGAATGAGTCAACAAGAAATCGAAAAATTAAAAGAAGAAGAATCTATTGAACAAGTTGAATATCGAGGAACAGTTAATTTAATTGCAAATTTATTTGAATTAGGATTAGTTAATGAACGATTACCATTAACATGTTTACAAGAACTATCAAAAGATGTAAATGATATGAAAATTGATGCATACATTACACTATGCTCTAAAATAGGAGAAAAAATGATGAACACTGACAACACAAGTCCAATTTATGGAGAAATCATTGAAGTCTTTAACAAAGCAAAAGAATTAGAAAAAAATAATAATCTAAGTAAACGAATTCGACTCTTATTAATGAATATTATTCAAATGATGGAATCAGGTTGGACTGTTTCTCCATTTATTTCTCTTCAATCCACACCAATGCCACAAACTCCTAGTCTCACTTCTTCTGCTACACCACTAGGAAATCCAAATGATAGTTTAATGATTTCGACTCATCACAAAATGAAAAAAGAAGAAATTTCTGTACCAAAAGCATCAATCAAGTACTCTTCAAAATAATTGAATTAAGATAAAAAATGTGATGTTTTAATAAGTTGCCGTAACATTAGGTGACTCATAAAAAGTGTATTTAGGAAAAAGAAATTTTGGTGGTAGATGAACGGTTGTCAAATTGTCACATCTTGAGAAACAAAAATCACCCATAGAAGTTAATGATGAAGGAAGAACAATTGAGGTTAAATTATAACAGTCGTAAAAGCATGAATCTCCAAGATAGATTAGATGAGATGGTAACTGAACAGAAACAAGATTAGGACATTTCTGAAAACAATTGTCACCTATTAAAGTTAATGTAGTTGGTAATACAACATGTTGAAGTAATGGACAATCATAGAAACAAAGATGAGGAAGTGAACAAAGTGTTGTTGGAAGAATTATTGATGAAAGTTTTAAACAACTCATAAAACTTCCTTCAGATAAAGAAGTTATAGTTGTTGGAAGAATTAACTCATTAAGGTCACCACATAATTCATAACAATGAGAACCTATTTTATTTACCCCATAAGGAATACTGTTTCCATATTTTATTCTTTCTTCTTTGGTATAAAAAACATGTTTACAAATAGTATTTTTATGTTCAAGCTCTTTGAGATAACGAGTATAATTAACATCATACCACAATACATACCTTTTCATTCCAGGGATTTTTCTATCTTTTTTAGTAAATAAGTTTTGAGTAGAAATATTTGGGAATAATCCGTTAGCTGCAAATAAGGAAATAGGATTTGATGTAAACATCTCTAATACATTTCGAAATTTTTTTGTTGTTTGAATAAAATGAATAAAGTCAATTCGCGAAGTGAAATATTGGAGAATAGAAAGAGCTTCCTGACAAGTTAAATGCGTAAAAGGACACATAGTGGTATAAATTCCAACAGGGTTTTATTTATCTTTTTCGGTTCTTTTTTAAGAAATACAATGAAAAGAATCTTTTATGGTTGTTGAACATGAAATCCAAATAAAGAGAACAAAAAAAAACAAACTCAAACTGAACTTAAAAAATATTTTTAATTTTTCTTATCAATGAGTGAAGTTGAACAACACTTATCTGATGAGATTGAAACAGTTGTGTATAGAGGACCTATAGATGATGACTATCAAGGAAATGAAATAATTCATCGTAAACCACTTCAAAGAAAAAAGAAGAAAAAGAAACATGGAAAAAAGAAATTAAAAAAAATACCAAATCCACCAAATATTGAAGAGGAAAAAGAATTCCGAAAAGAGTACCAAAAAGAGGAAGTTATAGAAAAAGAATTACTAGAACAGAAAAAAGAAGAGGAACAAGACACTAATCAAGAAAATATTTTAAAAGATGAAGAATTCAATCATGTTCATTTAGACCAACCAGTTGATGATGACTATAAAGAAAATGAACCAACTAAAAGAAAACAGTTAAATAAAAGAAAGCCTGTTAAAAAACACTCAGACGTCCCTAAATTAGAAATTAAAAAAACAGAAAATAATATAATTCCAATACAACTAGATGATAATACGAAAGGTCAATATAAACAAACTAGTACGTCACCCAAATCACAAAAAGTAACACAACCAATAACCCCAAGAAAAGAGTCAACAAAAATCGATGAAGTTCAAAATAAATCATTTGGAAGATCTTGGCTTAGTCCACGAAAGCTACTTCAATCATCAAAATCTAATACGTTGTGTAAAATGGACGAAAAAAAAGAAGAACACCAATCACTAAAACATAAAGAAAAGAAATTAAAAAAATCAAAAAAACATCAAGAAGAAGGAGATGATCCAATGATTACTAAACAATTAAATATAATACAGGATAATGAAAAGTCAATATTTTCAATTGCTAATTCAATTGGAAGAGGTGCATATGGAGAGGTGTTTCAAGGAATGAATGCTGATAGTGGAGAATTTGTTGCAATTAAACAAATGAAAGTAAATAAAAAATCAGTAATGAAAGAAGTTATGGAAGAAATAAGATTATTAAAGAAATTAAAACATCAACATATTGTAAGATATATTGCATCAACAGAAAGTCATGGATTTCTTTATATCATAATGGAATATATGGAAAGTGGTTCATTATTAAATATTGTAAAGAAATTTAATCATTTAAATGAAAGTTTATCAGCAAAATATGTTCATCAAGTATTAGATGGGTTGACATTTATCCATGACCAAGGTATTGTACATAGAGATATAAAGCAGCCAATATCCTTGTAGCTAAAGATGGGAGTGTAAAAATTGCAGATTTTGGAGTTAGTGTTCAAATGAATGGAAATGAAAAGCAAGAAACTGGAAGTGATGAAGATCCAATTGGAACACCCAATTGGATGGCACCTGAAGTTATTCAAATGCAAGGAACTACAGTTAAAGCAGATATATGGGCATTAGGATGTACTATTATTGAATTAATAACAGGAAATCCACCATATTATGATTTAAATCCAACGGCAGCATTATATAAAATAGTTAATGATGATTATCCACCATTTCCAAATACTGTATCACCACAACTAAGAGAATTTTTATTTTCATGTTTTAAAAGAGATCCAAATCAACGAGCATCATCTAGAGATTTATTAAAACACAAATGGTTTATTACAAATGGAATTAAAATAGAAGAAAGTAAAAAACCAACTTTTATTAAATCAGTCTCAACTAACAATATAAAAGCTAATTTAACAAAAAAACAACAAAATGAAAATGAAGATTGGGCAGAAGGATTTATTGTAAAACCACCAAGAATGAGAGAAGTAAGAACATTTACAGCAAGAAAAAGTACAGAAGATGATTGGGGAGAATATTTTATAATACCAAATGAAGGGATTAATATTGGAAAAGTTAATGAAAAGAATAATGATAATGAACATAAAAGTATTTGTTTAGAAGATATTGATTTATTAGAAAATGAAGATGATGAAAGAAAAGAAGAATTTATTAAACAAATGAAAGAAATTGGTAAAATGATTGAAATAGGAAATAAAGATAATAATAATAAAATATTTCAAGTACTTCTTCAATTACATAATATGGTATTAAATACCAATTTTAAACAATTACCAGCATGTATTCATATTATTGGAATATTTCCATTATTTGCTATTTTAGAAAAAGAAGAATATAGTGGATGTTTACAATTGAGATTAACATCACTACAAATAATTAATACAATATTAACCAAAGATAATACAAGTAAAATGAATATTGTAATGTCAGGTTGTGCCACAATAGTAAAATTTGGAATAACACATTATAAATCAAATGACTTATATCTTAATGAAATAGTTAAATTTATTAAATGTATTATAAGTAATGAAACAAATAAAAATGAATTACAACAAATGTTCATAACAAGTGGAGGGTTAGAATTAATTTATTTAATATTGACAATGAAATATGATGATAAACATAAAGGAAATATGAATGTAGTCTTAGAAATTGTTAATAGAATTGTTCAATCACAAAGAGATATTAAAACAAGAATGGAATTTTGTTCACGTAATATTACTACAATGATATTTATTCAATATAAATTAATTGATGGATTACTAGAATTTATATGTCAAACATTCTCATTAAAACAATATACACCAGCATTAAAAGCTATTACAATTATTATATTAATTATTGATTCTATTATGAGAAATGATACACAAATAAAATTTATTGTTTGTCAAAGAATTATATCAACTGATTTAATTGGAATATTATCAAGAACAATGGATACTTCAATTAATAGTAAATTAAATGAATTTATACAAGAAGATGTATTATTTAATGTATGCAAATTATGTAAATTATTAATAAATGATACAGAAAAAGAAATTGTTTATGGATTATTTAATACCAAATTAATTTTCTTTATTGTTAAAGTTTTATTAAGATGTGATTCATTGGATAAAGAATTAAAAAATTCTTGTATAATTAATATGATGAAAAATGGATTAATTAATAATGTTATACAATGTTTAAATATTCTTTGTACATCATCAATAATAGGATCTAAAGTATGTCTTGAATTATCATCAATACCAAATATCTTTCTATTACTTAAAACTTATTGTGATAAAGGAAAATCAAATTTTGTTATGGTAGAAGAAGATTGTTTAAATATTATATTAACAATTGCAGGTTCAATTACAAAACAACAAAGTTCAAGTGATTTCATTATTCATAACGCATTAGAATTTTTATTAGAATATTGTTCTAAAAAAGGAATCGTTGCTCATCTGTTTAGTGCTTTTAGAGCTTTATATCAAGCAAATCCTAAAAAAGGTTTAAAAATATTAGGTGATGTTAAAAGTATTGTATTAATTTGTAATATATTTAATCTTTCTAATTATAATGATGGGATGTGTTGTTCTGAATTAAAAGAATTTTGTGCTATTATTAATGAACATGAAGAATTAATAAAATTATATTCAGAATCTACTTTTGTTTATGGAACTGCATCTTTATTAAGACAAGTTGTAAATATTGAAGCAAAAAAATATTTTGCTGTATTAATGAAATCACTATTATTAAATAATACTCATTTATATAATTTAATAATGAAAGATAAAGTCATTATTTATTTAAATGAGACTTATACTGAATGTATGGAAAATGGTAAAGAAGTAGTTGGTAAAATTGTTGAAGAATGTTTAAGTCTTGTAATGAATGCAAATCCTCAACGTATCAGTAAAAAAGAAGAACAAAAAATTATTGAAAAATTAAAGAAAGAAGAAGAACTAAAATTAAAGTTAAAGAAAGAAAATGATAAATTTTTACATCATAAAAAAGAAAATAGAAAAGGAGTGTCATTTGGTAAACCTGGTTCTAATCAAGTTTTAGAGAAGGCTTTATCTGGAGAATTTATAGAAGAAACTAAACAAAAAAGACCAACTTCTTTTACCCCTATTCAAGAGAATAAAAATGAAGACCCTCACCTAAGTGTTCCTGTTAAAGCAGTTCCTCATCTTTCTTCTCATCCTCAACCTTCAACTCCATCTCAAAAATCTGCTAGAAAATTATTTTCTTTCGGTAAAAAAGAAGAAAAAAACTAACGTGTTTTTTTTTTTGTTATACATGCCGATATTTTATTATAATTTTAATTTTATAAATTGTAATTACAAATAATAAATTAAATTAAGTGGAACATATTCTTCATTAAAAGAGGAAAAGAATCAAAATGAACTAAGAACTAATAAGTCATATTTTAAAAATATTAAATGCAAAGAATTAAAAACATTTGTTCATCAAGTTCACTTGTTTTATTAAATATTTTTAATTTCATTAATGAAAAAGCAGTTAAATTTAAACGAATTTCTATTGTAAAAATTTTTTATTTGGGAACCTTTTCTTTTTATGGGGTTCTGTCTTATTTGTTTTCTGATTTTATTAGCAGAACAAAAGTAATGCAAAAACTTGTTGAACTCCCTGTAATGAATTCAATTTTTCCTTGTTCTGATTCAAGTTGTATTGCGTACGTCTGTCTCACTCGATTGATGGAAGCATATTTCTTTTATCATTTTACATTATTCCTTATGTCTTTTTTTATTCAAAACGATAATGAAAGCAATTTATTAATTCATTTTCATGACTATGAATGGGGTTTTAAATTCTGTTATATTAATGTGTTGATTACAATAATATTTGTTCTTCCTTTATGGTTTCATCGTGTTTTCTATTGGATTTCAATTATTGGTGCAATTTTGTTTATTCTTTATAGTCTAATTTCTTTCCTTAACTTTGCTGCTGTACTGAATATTAAATTAGTAAATAAAGTTGATCCTGGGCGTAGATTTGATCCTTATGTAGTTCTTCTTATATCCATATCATTCCTTTCTTTTTCTTTCTCTCTTGGTGTTTCTTTATTCATTTTAATACGATTTTCTCACTCAGCAACTTCTGCTGGAACTTGTGCATCTAAATTTTGGAACATTCTCTTTACATTATTCAATTTGTTATTATCAGTGATAGGAACTGTTGCTTCATTGTTACCGATTGTGAGAGAATATAAACCAACTTCAGGTATTTTTCAATCTAGTATAGTTTCTGCTTATACTGCATATCTTCTGCTTAATGCTATCCTGTCATTGCCTTGTTCTGAAAAGAATGGTTGTTGGATAGTAACTGATTGTCAAGAAAATAGTGCTCTTATTTCAAATTATGATTTCACATCTTTTCTTGGTATCTTCTTTACTATTGCAGTTATTGCTTATCAAACTTATCGAAATTCAACCGAAATATCAGAAACATCATTTATTGATGATAAACTCCCTGATGAAACTGATAGTTTAACAGGTGAAGTTCATGGAAGATATTGTTTCTGGAAATTCCATGTTACTTTTTGTATTGCATCATTGTTTATGCTTCAAAATATGGTTGATTGGTCTATATTTAAAACAAACCCTGCTCGTGTTGAGATTGGTCATTACGCCTTCTTTTTTAAGATAGGTGTTAGTGTTTTATGTCATCTGTTATACATTTGGACGTTATTAGCTCCTGCTCTCTTTCCAAACAGAAATTTTTCTAAAATTTAGATACTTGTTATCATAAAAATTAATTTTTCTTTTGATCCTCATAGTAAGAGAGTAATACCACAACCACATTTAATCAACTTTGTTCGTCTTCGACACTCTTAGTAAAGGGTGTTATAGTATTTATTTCTAGTACTTACCATTGAACATTTTCTATTTGAAATTATGTTTCTTTGTTATTTGATTCTTGCTTTTTGAAAATTATGTCAACAAAAGAAAATTCATCAAAATATTGAGTTATAAAGAGTATGTTACATAACTAATAAACTAAGAGCGAATATCTTTTCATTTTGTTAATAATGGATATCTTAGAAACATGAACAAAAGAAAAAAAAACAAAAGAATAAGAAATAGATGTTTTTGATAAATAAACAATAAAAAAACATACAACAATTATCAAATAAATAGTGATTTTATTTGATTTAAATACCATAAGTTTGGCAATGAGAATAATGGAGTGTATTTAATGAGTTTATTACTGTATCAAGAATTCTAATATTAAACATAAGATAACTAACAATTTATAATAATAAAAAAGATAAATGTAAAGTACATCTGTTAATAGTATTGAAAATGCAAACAACTCATAGTATTGTTTGGCATTGACACTTTTAATAAAATGAATAAAAATAAATAGTGTATAATGTGATAACAAAGGATGATAATAACTCAGATGAAAATTTTTGTTATAACTTCAAATTGATATTTTTTTAATAATTTTTTTTATTTATTCAAATTAAATGTAAAAAAGAACTCAGAATAATTTATTTTTTTATTGGTCATTGATAATGTTGACAAATTATTTCCATCATTCAAAAAAAAGGGGTTTCAATTCTTTGACCACTCTCTCACTACCAGCACTATTATTGTTAATGAACTATTAATTTGATATATGTTATTTGAACAGTAATGTATTTTTAATATAAATTTATATGGCTCACATTAAATTCTTCGTGACAAAACATTTCGAATAGTTTATTTGAATTAAGTCTATATGGTATAATTATTATAATTGGTTTTATTGTAATTGTGAATTTTTAGGTGTTAAAAAAAATGAAGAAATAGAACAAGGTTTCATAATATTCTTTGGCACACTTAACACATTTATCAAATTCACTTTTTCTTATTGTCAATTTTAACTAAGCCACCACTCATATTTATTTGTCTTAATCATTTTATTGTGTTCAATTATTAAATTATATTTTTTTTTTAATAATGACCTTAATTATTTAGAGAAGTTGTTGATAACATTATCAACATCATTAAAATACTCTACACCTTTTTGATGAATACATTTGACCACTTTTTCTTTTTATTTTCTGTTCACTATATTTGAATATCCATATTGTACCTTCTTTAGTTCAAAACTTTTCTAACGTTATTTGTTATTCTAATTTATTGTTTAGATGAATATTCATCTTTGAATTTTCTAATCATGAATATTATATATTTTATTCATGCACATCTTCTTCTTCATTATAAAGATGTTATTATATTAAATTTATTTCATTCTAGATTCAGCAGATTTTCATTACTATTATTTACTTAGATATTAATTACATCTAACAGAGTACTCTCTTTACAACTATTTAATGACATTCTTTGTTCATGAAATTAATTTTAGAGTTTAAACAAAAATACTTGTTTTATGGTAAAAGAAATAAGTCAAATGGATTTAATTCAATTTTGCTCACTTCATAAATTCAAAATAGTTTTAATTTGACAAGAAAATGGAAAACAATAAAAATGATAAATATATTTTTAAATTACAATAAAAAGTTTCGATTTGTTCACTGATATTAATTTAAATAGTTAAAGTTTTTTATAGAATAATGTACCACGTCATTAACTTTAATTTAAACTTCAAAGTACATCAAAACCAAAAAATGTATAATATTTTTTTAATAAAACTAACTATTTCAAATAAGTTGTATCAAAACATTTAGTGACAAATTTAGAAAAAAAGTGATGATGCCCTAGACAAACTAAAAATTCATAAAAAAAATACAAACTTTATGGTACATCATATTTTCCTTTCAGGTTCTGTTGGAGTTGGAAAATCAACTATATTGAAAGAGCTTGTTTCTTTGTTAAGGAATGACTTTAGGATATATCAGATGAAAGAGTATATAGATATTGATACCAATGGCATATCTCGCTTAAAAGAATTCCAAGATGGGAAACTTTCGAAGTACTCATTTCATAAATATATAATAAGTTGGTACAAACAACAAGCAAAAAATTCTGAATTTACTTCAGCTGAAATAGTACTATGGGAACGCCATCCAATTGAAGCACTTGAAATCTTTTGCAGTGGAACAGAGGGTATAACTGAAATAGAAAAAGAGGATCTTAACACTGAAATTGTTGAATTTTGCAAAGAATATGCAATACCAATAGCTCATAAAGGGTGCTGTAAAGTGAAGATGTTGGATACCGCTAATGAGTCAGTAAATATCTTAGTGGAAACCATTTATGCCAATTCTATTGCTCAGATTAGAGTAGGTGAATATCTATTTAGTTGTACATTCTTCTTATATTGTTCAGATATTGAATTACAGTATAAACGCATTATTGGTAGGGGGAGAGATTCTGAAATCTCATTCTATATGAATAGAAAAAACCTTTCTTGGATCAACAGAAAATATTTTGATTATTTCGCTGAGATTGTGAATCAAGTTAATTGAATTTCTGATTTTTATCTCTCTTTTTGGTTTCCATAATACGTATTGAATAAAGGCGAAAATTATGATAATAAGGGATTTGGTATAGATTTTTAGAATCTAAGTAATGCATACCATAATCATATACACAAAACCACTCTCTAAGAAAAATAACAATATCATGAGATGAAGTTGATGATAATACCTTTAGTATGAAGAAAAGTTAAACTTATTTACTCAAAAAATAGTGGAAGAGGAATTGTTATTCAATCGGTAATAATAGAACCAAAGAACTCCGAAACAAAAAAAGTCCTTAATGATATGCCTCACTTCAACAAATAATTAAATAAGATTTAATGAGCCATAGATTTGTTCAATTTGATATAAAAAATCAAATAGATATTACATCAAAAAATAAAAAAATTCAAGGATATAGAGAAATTGATGAATAATAAAAAATCTCATAGGCATGGATTATAAATATATTAAAAGACAAGTGATTGATAATCCAAATGATATTATGGAAGATATTATTTCAGAGAATAAACGATTAAGAAAAGAATTAGAGAAAATAAGAAATTTATATATTCAAGAAATGAAAACAAATGAAGAAATAAGAAATGGACTATTAGAACAAAGACTAGAGGTTTTTCAAACAAACTATTAAATAATTCAATTTTTATAATTTTAGTTTATGGAATTTGATAATTTTGAATATGATGATATAAATGATTATAGAGAAGAAGAAGATGATGATGATGATATTGGAGAAGAAGAAATAGATAAAGAAATTAAAGAAAGATTAAGTAATATTAAAGGAGAGAATCAAATTAAAAGAGTTCATCGACAAATATTCTTTTATTATAATAGTTTTAATATTATTATAGGGAAACAAGGAGCAGGGAAAACAACATTTATTATGAAAGAATTAGCGAAACTCAACAAAATAGAACACCAATATGAAGCGATTATCTATGTATCACAAAATGCAGGAGAAGATGAAACATTTAAAGAATTAAAAGATTTAATTAAAACACCAATTTATGGAATGAATTATGAAAAATTTATGCCAGCATTAATGCAATATTATAAACAACCAC